ATAACACCTAGTTAAGGACTTAAATATACAAATAATGAACATGCATGCCATATACAAAATAAGCGTATACATAATAATTAAGTCAGCACTCACGAGTGCAAATGTACAAATATTCATGTTTTAAGAATAACACCTAGTTAAGGACTTAAATATACAAATAATGAACATGCATGCCATATACAAAATAAGCGTATACATAAATAATTAAGTCAGGCTCTCACGAGTGCAAATGTACAAATATTCATGTTTTAATGATAACACTTAGTTAAGGACTTAAATATACGAATAATGAACATGCCATATACAAAATATATTCATAAATGCACACGCACACATATATATAAATTTAAATATATATATATATATATATATATAAATTTTCAATCAACTCTACCTTGATATCATTCTCAGGTGATGATAACGTCTTATTGCTAAAAGCCTGAATGCTCCAGCTCGGATAAATTACTGCAAGCAGTCGAACAATTCTACTTATAATACAAAAGATACATGAACGAAGATGCTGTAAAGGTAAGATTTTTTTTATCATATACATGCAATATGCAAAATGGCACTTTTGAGTGCACCTGTAGGGATTTTCAGGTCTTAGTTTATAAGTATAGATTGAAAAATAATAATAATGGCCATGAAATATACAAAATAACTTAAATATACAAATAATGAACATGCATGCCATATACAAATAAGCGTATACATAAATAATTAAGTCAGGCTCTCACGAGTGCAAATGTACAAATATTCATGTTTTAATGATAACACTAGTTAAGGACTTAAATATACAAATAATGAACATGCATGCCATATACAATAAGCGTATACATAAATAATTAAGTACCTAGTATATAAGTTAAGGACTTAAATATACAAATAATGAACATGCATGCCATACACAAAATAAGCATATACATAATAATTAAGTCAGGCACTCACGAGTGCAAATGTACAAATATTCATGTTTAAGAATAACACCTAGTTAAGGACTTAAATATACAAATAATGAACATGCATGCCATATACAAAATAAGCGTATACATAAATAATTAAGTCAGGCACTCACGAGTGCAAATGTACAAATTCATGTTTTAATGATAACACCTAGTTAAGGACTTAAATATACAAATAATGAACATGCATGCCATATACAGAATAAGCGTATACATAAATAATTAAGTCAGGCTCTCACGAGTGCAAATGTACAAATATTCATGTTTTAATGATAACACCTAGTTAAGGACTTAAATATACAAATAATGAACATGCATGCCATATACAAAATAAGCGTATACATAAATAATTAAGTCAGGCACTCACGAGTGCAGAGTAATGTACAAATATTCATGTTTTAATGATAACACCTAGTTAAGGACTTAAATATACAAAATAATGAACATGCATGCCATATACAGAATAAGCGTTACATAAATAATTAAGTCAGGCACTCACGAGTGCAAATGTACAAATATTCATGTTTAAGAATAACACTTAGTTAAGGATTTAAATATACAAATAATGAACATGCATGTCATATACAAAATAAGCGTATACATAAATAATTAAGTACCTAGTATATAAGTTAAGGACTTAAATATACAAATTGAAAAATTCAAAGAATTGAAAAATAATAATAACGGTCATGAAATATACAAAATGCATACAAAATAGGCGTTTACAAAAAAAAAACGCTAGGCACACTTTTTAGTGCCCCTGTAGGGATTTTCAGGTCTTAGTTTATAAGTATATAATTGAAAAATAATAATAATGGCCATGAAATATACAAAATGACTTGAATATACAAATAATGAACATGCCATATACAAAATATATTTATAAATGCGCACGCACACATATATATAAATATTTATATATATATATATATATATATATATATATAAATTTTCAATTAACTCTAACCTTGAATATCATTTTCAGGTGATGATATCGTCTTATTGCTACAAGCCTGAATGCTCCAGCTCGGATAAATGACTACAAGCAGTCGAACAATTCTACTTATAATACAAAAGATACATGAACGAAGATGCTGTAAAGGTAAGATTTTTTTTATCATATACATGCAATATGCAAAATGGCACTTTTGAGGCACCTGTGTGACCTAGTGATTTTCAGGTCAATACGTTACTGTAAATGTGTATTTTTGGGGTGAATTTGCATTTTTGCCGGAGAATGTGCTTATTTTCCGAATCATTTGGTAAATGTGTATTTACTTAAATTTTTAACTTAAACGGTTAATATTTTTCATTTAATGTTTTCTCGTTATGGGTTCTTAGTTGTAAGTTATTATTCGGCAGTTCTTAACTGTCAGTTTATTTTATTTATTTTTTAATACTATTTCACTTATACGGCAGTTTTTAACTGTCAGTTTATTTTATTTATTTTTTATTATTCGGCAGTTCTTAACTGTCTGTTTATTTTATTTATTTTTTATTATTCGGCATTCTTAACTGTCTGTTTATTTTATTTATTTTTTATTATTCGGCAGTTCTTAACTGTCTGTTTATTTTATTTATTTTTTATTACTAATTTTATTATTCGGCAGTTTTTACCTGTCTGTTTATTTTGTTTATTTTTTATTATTTGGCAGTTTTTAACTGTCAGTTTATTTTATTTATTTTTTATTATTCGGCAGTTCTTAACTGTCTGTTTATTTTATTTATTTTTTATTACTAATTTTATTATTCGGCAGTTTTTAACTGTCTGTTTATTTTTTTTTTTTATTATTTGGCAGTTCTTAACTGTCTGTTTATTTTATTTATTTTTTATTACTATTTTTATTATTCGGCAGTTTTTACCTGTCTGTTTATTTTATTTATTTTTTTATTATTCGGCAGTTCTTAACTTTCTTAACTGTTTATTTTATTTATTTTTTATTACTATTTTTCTTGTTCGGCAGTTTTTAACTGTCTGTTTATTTTATTTATTTTTTATTATTCGGCAGTTCTTAACTGTCTGTTTATTTTATTTATTTTTTATTACTATTTTTATTATTCGGCAGTTTTTACCTGTCTGTTTATTTTATTTATTTTTTATTATTTGGCAGTTTTTAACTGTCAGTTTATTTTATTTATTTTTTATTATTCGGCAGTTCTTAACTGTCTGTTTCTTTTATTTATTTTTTATTATTTGGCAGTTTTTAACTGTCAGTTTATTTTATTTATTTTTTATTATTCGGCAGTTCTTAACTGTCTGTTTATTTAATTTATTTTTTATTACTATTTTTATTATTCGGCAGTTTTTACCTGTCTGTTTATTTTGTTTATTTTTTATTATTTGGCAGTTTTTAACTGTCAGTTTATTTTATTTATTTTTTATTATTCGGCAGTTCTTAACTGTCTGTTTATTTTATTTATTTTTTATTACTAATTTTATTATTCGGCAGTTTTTAACTGTCTGTTTATTTTATTTATTTTTTATTATTCGGCAGTTCTTAACTGTCTGTTTATTTTATTTATTTTTTATCACTATTTTTATTATTCGGCAGTTTTTAACTGTCTGTTTATTTTTTTTTTTTATTATTTGGCAGTTCTTAACTGTCTGTTTATTTTATTTATTTTTTATTACTATTTTTATTATTCGGCAGTTTTTACCTGTCTGTTTATTTTATTTATTTTTTTATTATTCGGCAGTTCTTAACTGTCTGTTTATTGTATTTATTTTTTATTACTATTTTACTTATTCGGCAGTTTTTAACTGTCTGTTTATTTTATTTATTTGTTATTACTATTTTACTTATTCGGCAGTTTTTAACTGTCTGTTTATTTTATTTATTTTTTATTATTATTTTACTTATTCGGCAGTTTTTAACTGTCTGTTTATTTTATTTATTTTTTATTACTATTTTACTTATTCGGCAGTTTTTAACTGTCTGTTTATTTTATTTATTTTTTATTATTATTTTACTTATTCGGCAGTTTTTAACTGTCTGTTTATTTTATTTATTTTTTATTACTATTTTACTTATTCGGAAGTTCTTAGCTGTCAGTTTTGTTGTTCTTTTTGTTCCTTTTTTTTTCTTATATTGATATATTCTTGACATGTCTGTCATTTAAATAGTTCAACTCATATTTGCCAAATGAGCCGGAAAATCTGCACATTTAACGGGAAATGCCATTCACATATATATATATATATATATATATATATATATATATATAAATACTTGTAGACATTTTCAGGTCTTAGTTAGAAGGTCAAGGTTCAGATCAAGTATAGAATTAAAAAATAATAATAATGGCCATGAAATATACAAAATGACTTAAATATGCATAAACATGCCATATACAAAATAAGCGTATACATAAATAATTAAGTAAGGCACTCACGAGTGCAAATGTACGGATAATCGGGTCTTAGAGATAACATCAAGTATTTAAGTTAAGGACTTAAATATACAAATAATGAGCATGCCATATACAAAATAAGCGTTTACATAAATAATTAAGTCAGGCACTCACGAGTGCAAATGTACAAATATTCAGGTTGTAAGGATAACACCTAGTATATAAGTTAAGGACTTAAATATACAAATAATGAACATGCCATATACAAAATAAGCGTATACATAAATAATTAAGTCAGGCACTCACGAGTGCAAATGTACGGATATTCGAGTCTTAGAGATAACACCTAGTATATAAGTTAAGGACTTATACAAATAATGAGCATGCCATATACAAAAAAAGCGTTTACATAAATAATTAAGTAAGGCACTCACGAGTGCAAATGTACGAATATTCGGGTCTTAGAAATAACAACTAGTATATAAGTTAAGGACTTAAGTATACAAATAATGAACATGCCATATACAAATTAAGCGTATACATAAATAATTAAGTAAGGCACTCATGAGTGCAAATGTACGGATATTCAGATCTTAGAGATAACACTCAGTATATAAATTAAGGACTGAAATATTATAAAGGCTCTGCAGTATACAAAATATATTTATAAATGCACACGCACACATATATATATATATAAATATTTATATATATATGTATATATATATTTATATATATTTATAAATTTTCCATCAACTTTAACCTTGAATATCATCCTCAGGTGGTAATTGCAAGAAGTCTAAGTGCTCCAGCTCGGATAAATTACTTCAAGCAGTCGAACAATTTTACTTATAATACAAAAGATACATGAACGAAGATGCCATAAAGGTAAGATTTTTTTTATCATATGCATGTAATGTGCGAAATGGCACTTTCAAGTGCACCTGTAGGGATTTTCAAGTCTTATAAGTATATAAATATATAACTGAAATATAATGATAATGAACAGTTTTATATATATTTTTTTTATTACTATTGTTCTTATTCGGCAGTTCTTAACTCTGTTATTTGTTGTAAGTTATTATTCGGCAGTTCTTAACTGTCAGTTATTAGCTGTAAGTTATTATCCGGCAGTTCTTAACTGTCAGTTTATATTATTTATTTTTTATTACTATTGATCTTATTTGGCAGTTCTTAACTGTCAGTTTATATTATTTATTTTTTATTACTATTGTTCCTATTCGGCAGTTCTTAACTGTCAGTTATCTTCAGGCAGTTCTTAACTGTCAGTTTATATTATTTATTTTTTATTACTATTGTTCCTATTCGGCAGTTCTTAACTGTCAGTTTATATTATTTATATATCTTCAATACACTCCTCTTAAATATTCATTTCAGGTTGTACTATCGTCCACAAGCCTGAATGCTCCAGCTTGGATAATGCTGTGAATGATTGAATGAATTAATTAATTAATAAAAAAAAAGATGTGTTAGGTTGTCTTCACATTTCTCAGTTGAATCTTCTGTGGGCACTATACGCGCATGCATACAGTTGTACATGTATACAGTACAATAATGCGGAAATTTCTCAAACCGTATGCGAGATCCTTCGTCAAAAGTTAATTGCTAGCATTCTTAAGGATGACGTCAAAGTGACTTGCAGGAGGCCACAAGTGACAATCTAATTTAGAGACGTTGATGACGAAACAACGAAGGCCGATATTCAGAGTGCTCTGAAAAAAGCATTTGAAGAAGCCTGTGAAACACCAGGGGAGGCAATCAAGATGCGTAAGACCTACAGAAGCACCCAAATTGCTGCAGTGACGTTACCAGCGTATAATACATCTAATAAGCCGGCTTTTTGGGCATAACGGATTCCAGTGCAGAAGTAAAGTAAATCTTTGCATCAGGTAAGAGTATCTAGTCGCAGTCTTTTTGACAGCAGCTCTTTGTACGGTTGTGCATGTATTGGTGTGTAGTTGACTGTGTAAAATTGGCGTGTAAAATCGTTGTTAATCGTCTTTTCGATCGGTACGAATTTTATTTTATCTGCGAGTAGTATTGTAGTTAAAGGTTAGGCCAGTTTTATTATTATATTAGATTTTTCTGTGAGCGGAGTTTATCAATTATATTACATATTTGTTTTTTTTCATCTTATTTTTTTCGATATAGGTAGCTTAACCTAGAGGGTTTTTTTTTACTCTATGATAGGATAAATATTTTTTTTTGAATAGGTTAAGTTGGGTTTTATATATTTCACTTTTAATAAAGATTTTATTACAATTATGCATTTCATTGTTTTTATTTAAATCCTATATCAAATATCGATGATATACAATACGATATGATATCAGTAACACCTGCAGTAATTCGTGGTTCCAAACAAAACCATTTGGTTTTCATAACATTTACCATTATTAAACTGTAGCGCCATATTTTGTGATACAACTCTTTAGCTCGAATACAAATCCAAACTAAAATCACTTAAATCGAATTAACTGGAATTTTCGTTTTAGGGTTTCCTTGACCTACAATGGTCTCGCTGAAATATCATCGAATTTTCTGTTGTGTAATTTAGGGACCAGATATTTCCAATTGTAAAATGTCACAAAATATATGGATATATGTATTTATTTATTATGTCCATATGAATGTTAAGATTTAATATATAAGATTATTACAAAAAACTAACAGGAGAGCTTATAAATATATTGTGTATGTAGGTATTATGTATTTTGGAATAGAAAAGAATCTGTACAATCACAGACTCTTTTCCCTTACATTTTTTTCAGCGCGTTTGCTAATATCTGAATTTCAGAATTTATGTTTGTGACCAAATTTTCTATCTGATGTTTTGAGTCCAAGATTTCGATACTTTGTGTGTAAGCATTGTAACGCACTCCGAATGGTCTTGGTATTGTTTCAGCATATTTTCTGCAAAAAATAACGTATTATTGAAATGTATTTTGAGTATATTTACTCATACATACATCATTAGTTCTTTCGATGCTTCAAAACTTTCAGCAACATAGTAAACTGGTTGATATTCTGTGATGGGGTATTTTTGTTCTGCTGTTTTTACTGGTTCGAATGGCCTGAGCTCAGGTTTATCAGAAAGACTGTACATAAGTTCTCCATATGATGATAAAAGTCCTGCACCGTAGGCTTTTAATTGTCCTTCTTGTCGGCAAAGACCGAATTCGACGGTGAACCAGAAACACTAAATATAATAATTAGTCAGTTCTTTTTAAAAATCTTGCAAAGAAAACAAGTCTAACAAATGTCTAACTATTTCCTCACCGTGGCCAATTTTTCAATATAATCATCTGGAGCTCCCAAAGAAGCCAAACCAATTTCTTGTGAAAATTGTGCAAAAGCAGGATCTGCAAATAGAGGAACATGGCCTAGGAGTTCATGGCAAACATCTGGTTCTGGTGTATAGAGTGGTCTGCTGTGATGTCTGATGTACTGTGTCGAGTGGAAAACCCGGAAAGCTAAACCAGCCAAGAAATCTCTGGAGGATAGAAGACCAGCTACTGGACGGAGTGTGAAGCCTGTGCAATCTGGATGAATGATCGTAAGTCTCATAGGTTATTATATTGGTGAATTATTAATATTTATATATAAGGATTTTGAGCAAGTGATGTATAATAATTTCTGCTTTGTTTATTTATTATTACCTTTGAGGAAGTTGGAAATGTCTTCCAATTGTGGAATATTATCCTCTCTGTATCCGCAATTCTCTATCAAGAGAGGAAATACGTGATTGTGTTCTCTACAAGCATGAGTCGGATATAATTCTGTCAATTTGCGGAAAATCACGCCCCATGTAGCAGTTTCTTCCGGAGTGTAGTCAACGTGCGGAAGCTTTTGGCCGTGCTTGTAGTTGAATGCAATGTCGGCAAAGTACCTTGGAAAAATATAGGAAAAACGTTTAATAAAATAATAAATTATTGTATATATGTATATAGTTATTTATTTATACTCACTTCCTGCGAGCTCTGTAAACGGGATCAGTAAATCCAGGATGGTCCGAATCCAATTCGGCTCCGTAGGATAAAATTTGGTTAGCAAATCTGTCCAAATCGCGTATGCGTCTTGGGAACCATGGAACCGCTTCTAAAAATAATAATTATAAATAATAATTATTATTTTATTGCTTTTTGGGTTTCATTCAAGTACGGTCTAAGCTATTACCCTTATTTTCTCTATAATTTCTGGAAATAATGCTAAAATAGCTGCAACCACTTTTCAATTCTTCGCATGCGGCATCGATGTCTTCTTGTTTACCATCACATTCGACCATAAATTCGTAACCTGGTCTTCTTGATGAAGACCGAGATTCAATATGCAATAAATTCACCTAGAAAAATGATAAATAATTAATAACTAATCATAAATATTAGTTACTATCACTGTTATAGCTTGAGTCAAAAATCGGAGTGTATAATCTGTTTTATTATAAATATAAACCGTTTTGTATAAATTTGATTATGCTGTATATGAATATATACTGATAATAACGAAAGCTTTTCAACAGACATCCATTAAGATGTAAGAAAAAAAATTATCTCTTTAAAAAAAATTAATAGACCTTAAATGTTTAACACATTCTAGAGCGTGCTTTGCAAATAACTGTTGTTAACAATATAAATTATTTTTATTGTAATTTTTTAAATTAAATATGTAATTATATTTCCTAATTATACTGTTAATAAGTCTTTTAATTGATTCTTTTTTCGAACATTTTGATAGATGTGGGTTAAAAAGCTTTTTTGTTTTCATCTATATATGTATTGTTTTATTTTCAAGAAGTGTTTAATTTTCTTCAATTCCATTTTAAAACTTGAATAATTTTATATTGTTTGAACTTTATATAATTTTGTTATTCTTTTTTTAATTTTTTATTTATATTATTTTAATCTATTTTGTTACTTACTTTGTGATTTGCGAAAGTTTTTAAAGAAGTAGCCAAAGCTCCAGCTTCTTGAGTAACTGTTGGAGAAAATATAATACAAGTGCCCTTCTTCGAATTCTGAACTTCTTGGATATAATTGCCTCCATCCATTAATTTTGGCTAAAAAAATAATACATAAGCCTAAAATAATATTCATCAATAATTCGTTTCGCGGTGTTTCGTTTTCAAACTCTCAACCTTATAATGTTAAAATTATTCACAAACTTAAGTAATAATTGCCTGCATTCGACATGGTGCTTAATGACTTACTTTCACCCACATTTAGAGATTTTTATCTAAATCGATATGCAATTAACGGAATATTGATCGACTTTTACTTAAAATTGTAACAACAAGCAATCGATAGAATTCTTACGTCATATTGGTAAAAGAAACTTATTCGACATTAGCGGTAGCTTTAAATAATAATTAGGTTAATAATAATAATACTAATCAATGATTGTATGGAATGTATTAATTTAAAACTTGATATCTCATTTCTTGGTTGTTTTTATTATGCTTGATTATATATTTGCAAACAAATATATCTAAAAAAAATTCGATATTTGGCCTTGCTTTAGTTAATGATTTTATGCAATAAAATTTTTCCTTGACAAAGTGCAAGTTGTGCATATATATATAACATTTTATTTCTATCATGAGTTGAAACGCTCCTTGTTAATTCATAAACATCTCAAAAAAAACTAACAATAAATTTTTAATTTTTTTTTGAATCCAAGTTAATTTCAATTTTAAGCATTTAGCATATTCCAAAAAAATTCGAAAAATATAGTTAAACTAATATCTCAAAATATTATAAATGAATCTTATGTTAGAAATTTTTCGAAAGCAGTAAAAGTAAAATTAGTTAAGATAACGATGATAAAATTATTTTAAATAAACTTAATTTTGATTAATTGAATTAATAAAAGAATTGATGTTATGAAATTTTATCAATGCAGGATTTTGTACTGTAAATATTTTTTTCAAGTTTTGTTCTTTATATATGCTCCAAGAAACGTTTTTATCGTGATCTATGTTTAACTTTTAATATCAAATGATCTTTTAATAAAAATGTAATGAAAAAACTAAATTTTATTTTAATATGCTTTATCATCTTTATCATTGATAGTTTTGTGTTGATCAATTTTATTTACAACTTCATATTTTTGTCAAATATTTTTAAGTTATTTATCAACAAATAATTATAAAACATAATCTAAATATTATTTTCATCAATAACAAATTATTCCTATAGTTTGGTATGGATATTTTACATTTTTATCAGTAAAATTATAAAAAATTCCTCTAAATCTTGTGCAAAAACTACAACCAATATCAAAAATGATTTTCTATTATCAACAATGATTATATCGTCATTGGCTTTACTTGACCCGTGCCCAATTTGTATAATTAGCAAAGAGTCATCAAAAATAAACTTGATTTTAAATTTGCGATTTCGAAATGTGAAATAAAATAATATATGATGTCAACTCGGTTATCTCTCACGTTATTATATTCAACGTAATTTTATCTCGAAATGGAGTAATAAAATAAATTTCTTGATATTGTGATGACATCAATTGATTTTTGGACCACCCATTGAAGCCTAATTGTTATAATTAATCTCAGTTACTAACAAGATAATATTTTATCATCAAACTATTATATATAAAAAGCTATATATAAATAAACAATAATTTAATCATTTGTATATTATTTCAATCACTTTTTTAATGTGCCCCATCTTTCTCAGATAACTGAAAGTTTTATTAGAATTTGTAATATTAAAAAACGGTTTTAATCCAAAAATGATTCTACGTCTCTTATTAGAAATTAATATACAGAAATTGATATTCCTTTATAAAATGATTATGAATATTTTTTTTTTACGTTTAGACACTTTATTTGGGCCATCACTTATTCTATCTACAATCCATCAAAATCTGAAGTTCATGGATTAAAAATTATCATTTTAATGAAGATTTTTGATTTTTTGTATTTTCTTTATTTTTTAGAGTTTCAATGTTCATTAAAATTTTATAAAAAGCTTTTGGTTTTGTTCATCGTAGTATGAATAATGCACAATGATGACATATAAAAAATATCATATATTCTCTATCGAATGAAAAAATGTTCTTCGCAAATTATCTCATAATTTCACAATATAAAATAACATAATATTTTCTATAAGATGACGCGAGCAGAAATGATCCTTGTTTGTTTTCGATAATAAGCGGTTTATATGACATATTGAACTGTGATAGCAATAAAATATTAAAATATATCGAAATTCAAATTTTATCTGGTAAACAATTGTTTTGTTATCGAAACTAATCCAAATTCTTGGAAGGATATTGTCCGATATCATAGTTATGAAATAATAATAATTGATCGATAATCGATTGCTTGTTAATTATATAGATATACTTATTTATAAGCATGCATATATACACATATATATATATATATATATATATATATATATATATATATTATGATATGAGTGGACTAACAATAGCATAAATCTAAGAACCGACACAAATATTTTACATGACACTTATATAAACATCATTAATAATTTATAAAATTTTTTTCATTTATCTTATTCTTTTCAATAAATTAATTTGTTTTTTCATTTTTATCGATTTTTTGTATGCGATAGCACTCCTTTTGTTTACATTATAATGATATCCATTCTGTCTCCATCTAGACACTTCAAATTTGTTTAGAATATTTCTGTAAGTGTTATGTGTTTCTTTAGTACTGTGTCAAGCATTGCAAGGAATAGGTGGTGTTTTTTGTATATCAAAAATTAAATGAAATTTAAATAAGTTATTAAAGAATGTGTAGTATATAAGTAACTGTTTTTGAAATTACACTGAAGATGAGACACACCATAGTCTCGAAACGTCTGTAATCATAAAATAAAGTTGTGTTAAACAAATCTGAGTGCTGTTTTGTTCATATTAAACAATTAATATATATATATATATATATATATATATATATATATATCTACATATATATAAAAATAAGTCGGGTTTTCGACGGTATAACTCCAGAACGCACAAACCGACAATTTTGCACTCTTTGGAAAGGTCTCGGGCTACGCAAGGTTTATAGCTAAGAAAATTAGTGGTGCATGGCATCGTGCCTAAATGCAAGGTGCTGGAACTTCACGCACCGTAATTAAAAATTCGAGTAATGACATTAGTGAGAATTATCAGAATTATGCTTGGTTAAGTCAACGAGCAATTCTTGCCGCAAAGAATAATGATGTACACGCACTGAATTCCACCATTCAATCAAAAATTGCTGGCGATTTGGTGACATACCAATGATTCCGACTGGTCTTACGATTGCAATTTTCAGTTTGCCTTGCGTTCGCAATAGCAAGTCGCAAGGCCAATCGCTTAGTGTTTGCGGGATAAATTTCAAATAGATTATTTAGAAAATCATTGTTTTTCACATGGACAGTTATACATTGCCTGTTCACGAGTTGGAAAACCAAACGAGTGTTAACGTCAGACCAAAACATTAAAAATGTTGTTTACCAAAGAGCACTTCAATAAAACGGATAATTTGCGGATTCACTTTCATTTACTTAGAGAAGTTCAACTAAAAAACACTTTATTTTTGTAACCGAAATAAATTCATTACTGTTGCGTAATAAAATTGAATTTTTCCTTTTCAAATATAAAACAAACAAAAAATTTCTTCATCTTTCTCACGAAACCATCTGGTGGCGAAATGGGGTTCGTCGGGCTTGCGAGTTTTATATATATATATATATATATATATATATATATATATATATAATTTATTTTTCTATTTTTTGTGATTTACGGGTTTGCAAAATAATTACACATGCATTTGTAAACCACTTTTGGCATGTACAATTTTTTCATTTTGTATTAATTGATTTTAATAAATAATTCACACGTGATGATGATAATCGGTGTATAATCACAAATTTTTGAAACTTTGGAAATCGAAAACTCTAAGAGTTTTCAAGAACTGCATGTGTAATAATTTCAATGAAATTCGCTTTTACAGAGCTATATTAGAGCTATTATAAATTGATTTACTTATTGAAGATTATTTAAATTATTTTTGAACATTATATGATTTATAATAAACATTTTACTTTATTCACATATTAACCACTTTTTCATTCCTTTTTGCTTCCGGCTCTACAAGCTAATAATTATAAAAATTCAAAAAATGTCACTTACTTAAAAATGGCTCAATATAATAATTTTCATTCCATTGTTATAAAATTAGAACAGTTAAAAAAATAATTATATTAATTATTACTACGCAAATAGAGTAGTTGCTCTATGTATTTTCAAAGTACATGCACTAAACTCACCGCTTCCTCATTATCATTTTTAAAATGACCATTGGTCATTGCAGGCGCTGCTTTCATCATCTTGACCACTTTTTTCCGGCACTCTTATTACCAAAATCACTTTACTAATTTTTATGATTATTATTATTTAAATCTTAAGCTATTCTCAATAGAACGTCCTATGTGCGACTGTTATTGCGCGGACACCAAGCTTGCACTTTATACGGAATCAAGTTTTGACCTCTGCTAAGATACCGAGTTTGAGTTTCGTTCGAACCAAAGAATTCGAATCAGATCGGAATTTTAGTGAAATAGTTTTATCAATTGCGAGGTTTTGCTATTTTGATAAAAATCTATGATATTACATGGGTTGATCTACATATTTTCTCATTTTTGAACGGCGTGCTTGAACTTCTTCTATTCACTAAAAACTAATGAATGCGATTTCTGAAAGATATCTTCAAATCAAACTTACAATATCTGCCATTGCATTTTTTCAATATAATTTGTTGTGTTATAATAATTGATTTAATTTAAGTATGGACATTAATGGTGATCAGTGCATATTCAGCAAGGTGGTTGTCCTAAACTTTGATGAATCATAATTAAACTATTTTTCTTGGTTCAAAAAGATATGTTGTGGTCATCGAATAATAAAAAATATATAAGAATTATTACAGGTATCAACAAACAAATTGAACAATCAATCAAACCAATGGAGTAATCTTTACCTCACGTTTATCTTTAACTATTGCTGCAATATTTTCGACCAATTTTTTTTCTATTTTAAAATAAGCCAACTTTAAACATTTTCCATAAATATACGTTTATATTTTGCTTCACTTAAACGACTTTATATTGCATTTCGTAATCTCACACTAGTTTTTGTAAATGAATATTCATAGATAGATTTTGATAGATTAGAATTGCTACATTGAATAAATTTATCTTATATTGTGATTGTCATACAGCTTTTCCAGGTACAAGTTTTTCACTAATCGTCATAATTTTCTCAAGTAAAACATATTTCACAAGGATTGATAGAAAATATTTAGCTTTTTGTGCAACTTGTGTATCACAACGTCCATTCACCCTTGATAGGTTTTTCTATGTTGAATTAATCAATTGACCAATGTTGACCATTAAATATAGTTATCATACTTTTGCTGATAGCACAAAATTACTGCAATTAATCAATTGTAAACAGATAAATTTAATAATAAATTATGTATCCAAACTTGATACAACTTACATGAATAGCAGTTATATATTGGAATTAATATTTACTATAAATTCAGTATATTCTTTCCTCAACCTTGAAATATATAGTTTTGTCGCATAATATAAAATATAATTTCTTAAACTATAGTAACAGTAATAGTATTAACTAAAATAAAATTTACAGCGTATATTATATATCATTATATATATTGGATACTTATATCCAATATTCACATTAGGCCATTTTCACTTGGGATTATATGTAATATCTATTACCTCAAGTAGAAATTTGATATCATACTACCTGATATCAAGCTGGCCGAGATTATGAACTGCGACTAGTTTATACTAGCTCACGTTCTTAACCATTACACCACGATGCACTTTTCATATAATAATTTTACCTTATATCGTTTTAATTTTTTGAAAACTTTTTTTCTTATTTAATTCACTTTTAATATTAAATATAGCTTGATTTATTTATTTAACGACATCTTTATAATTATAATAAAAGTATTATTTTAGTTAAGACACATTGAAGTTCAATTGGAATAATTTAATTATTACTCAAATTTAAGCAAATTTTCAGAGAAATAAAATATGAAGAAAATTTGGTTAATATATATATATATTTCAAAAATTGTTTTTCAAAATTGATTGAATTAAAGACTGATCTAAATATGCACATACATGATATCTCTTCATAAAAATAAAACGGCAAAAACTTTGATTAAAAATCCGTGGATAGATCTTTGAATATTTCATAAAAATAAAACGGATTTTCTTCTATGAAGTAAGAAGTTATGCTTCTATAATATTTTAAAAATTGCTCTACCATAATACTGTTTTCTTGTCACCTGATTCCATTAATTATTATTAATTTATAACAGGACACAAATTTAATTCAGTATTTAACAAAATATAATTCAGTTTTTATCAAACCAGAAATGCGAATTCAAGGTTGCACAGTTTATCATCGAAACCTGATTTAATGGCGCTGTATTAATAAATTACTTCGAATATTTAACTTATTTGTTGTTTCAACGTGTGTCTGATTAAAATGCATAAAATGAATAAAACACATGTAATCATTTGAGTGATCTTTAATAAATAATATATGAATTATCTAATGTTCACAGTACAAAATTAATAGTAATTTTCGGTTGCAATAGAGATAGAGCGAAATGAAATTTTTTTTATTTATTGCTCAAGAATTTTAGCCAAAAACTAAAAAGTTGGACCTTAAGATATGCTATGCTATAGATTATGCAAAAAAATTACTGTTACTATGATACCAGGCACTGGTTTGTCAATATTTATCTAGATGTTTATATATGGCATAAAAAATGCATTTACATTTTAAATCCACGTGCGGATGAATTAAGTAGTTTAAACGTATAAATATTTATATATTTTTATATGTGTGTCTGTAGTTTCAGATTTTTTGGATTGATATTATTTATTACTTCAGTTTTCAGATTTTTTTAATTAATTTTACTAAGTGGGAGAAAATTTAACTTTCAGTGAGTAAAAAAATGGCTTTGAAAAAGAAAATGGTTTCAATAATTCAAAGGTAAAAAGTGATTTTTTTTACATTTTCGGATAATTTACAAAACAATGTTTATACATTTTCTAAAAAATTGAAATTTGCTAATTGAAGTGAAGTCAAATTTTTGAATATTCTTCAATAGTTCTCTTTGCAAGTGCTTTTGACAAAAAACTAGTGATGTGGTTTATGGATCAATTTTGCAGGTAAATAATGTTCGCTTCTCAATTTCAAAAATACTTTTTTTGTTAAAAAATATACATAATTCATTCCTTTAAGTTTTTAACATTCTGTAATCATCAAATTATCTATTAATCAATATTGCTTTTCAAAAAAATGTTTTGGACGTAAAAACCTGATGATGAAAATGATCTTGTTCCACAACGTTGTAAATAAACATTTACTTATTGCTCTTTATTTATTGAGTTAATAGTTTGGGGAAGAAAACCCAAATCGATTTTTCAGAAAAGTACAGGATGTCTCCTTTTAAAATTAAATTTTTTCATATGAATACACAGATAATATATATCTTGCTGAACTCTGTGTTATTTCAGGCCAACCTTCGAATGATCAATAGTATCAAAAGATGGCACAACAAGTAATATTGCACGTGGTAATATTATACCAATGTTCAATACAATTTAGGAAATTGCACAAAATGTTTGTGCCCGAATCCTTCGATGTCCTTATTTTATTCGGCAATATTAAGGTGCAAAATAATGGATCGATAACATATAAAAGGACATCTCACTGTGTATCAGGTACTTCTGAATATTTATATTTGTTGTTTTAAGGTTTTTCATGTATTTAATTATTAATATTTGTATTAAAATAATTGACAGAATGATGATGCATGAAATATTTCCGACATGAAACTATTGTGCAAAAGGATGCATCGAGTGCCTGAATATATTGCTTTGCAGTTGTACTATAAAATGGTGAGTGCATATTAAAATATTATATTTAAAATGTACATATTTTTCTGAAACTACATATGTTATATTACGGTACCTATAATCAAAAATAAGCTCAATAATAACCTAAACATATTGATTTTATTCTCTTCAATATATTTTACCAATCAACATTTTTTCTATACGATATTTAATTTTTTCTGATGAATCCATTTCATTATTATAAAAATGTGGAATATTTGCATTCACTTTTTTTTCAAAGCACTTGATTTTCTCACGATTGGATCATTTTACCTAATTAGTACTGGTAGAAATAAAATTATTTCCCATACCGGGAATCGAACCCGAGCCTCCTGGGTGAAAGCCAGGTATCCTAGCCACTAGACCATATGGGATTAAGTACTACGAGTAAAGTTGTTTTCAGTGTAGATTTTAATGCTGTGTATAAATTCTGAATTGAAATTGGTCAATTAATTATTTAAAAAATGATTAAAAGGCCATTTTGCAAAAATATGTTCTTTAGCTATTTTTATTAAATGTTTTGAATGAAAAGGGACAACTATCGGGCAAAGAAATACAAGGTCTTATTTACAATTTTAAAGGGATTTACGAAATAATTGACCAAAATTTTTTAACCTATGCGAAATAAATCTTATGAGCACATTTTTTGCAAAAATTTTACAGTATATAATACCATTGATCTGGTAACGCTCTCTTTGATGATAACATTTTATTAAATATAACTTACATATATTTGTTTTAATGTATTTTACGAATGCCTTAATTTTGAAAACATTTCTTCAATCAATAGAAAAGTTAATCTACATTTGTCTTGTAAATATATTTGCCTACCTTTTTTCAACTATCGTAGATTTTTGTAAAATTAAAATCAATAGGTTCAATGTCCGTTTGTTACAAAACTCTAAATTTTCATGCTCCTACCTCAATATAAAAGCATAGTATTAAGCACATTTATAAAAAAGTGTTTATATATATATTTTATGTTTGGTAAATTTTATTTGTGAAATAAAAATCCTATTTAAAACCAAATTTTCGATTATAAATTTTTTTAATGTATTTTACAAATATTCTTTATTGGTAAATTTTGTTTATAAATTAAAAATCCTTAACAACCTCTCTTTGATTAAATATTTTTTTAAAATGTTACTTACAAATTTTTATTTTTGTAAAGTTTGTTTATAAATTAAACATGTTTATTAAAAAACCTAATATAAACCCTCTCTTCGATTATAACATTTTTTTTAAATGTCACTTACAAATTTTCATTTTTATGTATTTTACCCAAACCCTCCGTCGGTCGGATATTTATTCACCTTCGAACGGTCGGAGTGGTCTGGCTGGACCACCATTCATTTTACATGCATTTATGTGGGGTAAATGAGTTTTTGGTGTCTTATATATTAACGATTATTAGTAATAAATATTTATAGTTTTGATTTTTTCTTTTTCTTACCGTCTTTTGCATGTGTTGAGCTTGCTTATAATAAATAAATTATATATTATATTATATAAAAAAATAATAATTTAAAAAGAATATAAAAAATCGTTTCTTTTTTATTATTTTTATTTTTCTGTTTTATATCAATGAAAAACAATATTTATTCTTTTTGGTCTCCTTCGAAATGAATGTGAAATTCAAATGAAAACGAAATGAGGTGCGTCGCTTTGAAATGAGCTGTCAAATTCATAGTTGAAAATATAATTTCACTACAGGTTTTCCAAAAAAAATTTCGAACGCAGTACGAGTAGAAAAATTGTCGATAATGTGCGCATTACTCATCCGATTTTCCATGTTTGCGATGACCAATAAGTTTGGTAGGTTTTCAAGGAACTCTCGCCGTGAAAATACTAACATCCATGTTACAACACATAGCAAAGAATATATAAAATGCAGTTTGAATAGAAAATACCAGAAAAAAGACAAAATAATGGTTTACATATATCAAAAAGCGTATATTTCATACAAAATGTATGGGCGGTCTAGACAGACCACTCCGACCGTTCGAAGTATAAAAAAGTTAATATCCTTATAATTATCCTTCTGTACATTTTTTCATCCTGATTTTTTCATTGATCGACAGCTAATGAAATTTAAGGAAAAGTCAAGAAATTTCAAGTCGATAGGATTACTAGAAGTATTTTTTTTTAATTGAAGTCGAAAAAAGTCTAGCCAGACCACGCCGACCGACGGAGGGTTAATAGTGTGAACATTATTATTTTTATTAGTGCACATGTTGGACTCTACACTTGCCTTGCACGTATGTGCCTACCTTTTCTTAACAATCGTACATTTTTGCAAAACTTAAATCAATATGTTCAATGTCCATTACATACAGGACCCGCATCCTATTCCATACCTATCTTATCTCGCCTGGCAAACACATATCCTTTCACATGCACTTTTCTTCTCCTCACGGTCTTCGACCTCCGCCCCACTCTCGAACGCTTTATCTTTTTCATTTTCCACGTTCATTCATGCATTTTCGCGAGCGTCCGCGACACCCCCCACCGTCACGGGGCAAGCGTTCTCGCTCAGGCCGCGCTCTCGGCCGGCGCTGCCGTCAAGTGCGGAGTTATTGAAATTAATGCGTTTTACATTGCGCCTCCAGTCGTTACAGGCCCAACAACCTATTCCGTCTAGAGGCGTCAGTTGCAATTTGAATTTGAGAGCGGTGTAAATGATATTTTACATCATGGTTGAGATAAATTAAGAGTATTTTGCTGATTTTTTGAACAAGTGCGATAGTGGTGAAAATAATTATGAAGGCTGTCAGTGTTTTGATAGGATTGCTCTGCGTTGTTTGTGGTGAGTTTCTTTTTATACCGAAATAGTTTGTTTCTGAATTTCATCTAGGTTCGGTAAAATGTGGCTTTTTGATTCAGGTGCTTAGGTTGCTTTTTATTAGCTTCCCTAAAAAAATATTTATTTTTTATGTCTGTTTTACATTAATAAAATTAATATTATTATACATTTAGTATTTTATGGATTTGTGAATAGATTTCTCGACGATTTTTTACTTTCTAAACTACGTTAATACCTATTTGTACATGTAAGATCTCATCTTTTGGTTGCAACTTTTTTTTTACTTCATTGAGAATTACTTAATACATTTAAAATATGTAAAAAAATAATCACATTTGTTCTGAGAATAAACAGTAGGTTTTAGGTCATAATAGCATCATTGCATAGAATTTAAATAGCTGTAAGTGGAATTCTGTCTTAAGGCAATTAAAACATCGTGCCTTAAGGCAAATTGCTGGAACTTCCCGTACCGCAGTTTAAAATTCAAGTAATTAAAAATTATCAATAATAATCAATAAAAGTTGAATGATTTGAAACTTTTAATAAAATTTTGAACCATATTATATCATTCTATCTTAAATTATTCATTTTGAAATATTTTGTAAATTCTGAACTTTTTTTTCAAAGCAATCGAATTGCTTTAACTGCATGAAGACGAAATATAGAAGCGCGTGAGCGCCGCCTTGCCGTCTAACGCGTAAACATTGGTACGGAACCCATAGGAATGGAGAAAAAATATACTTATTGTTAAAATCTCTATAAAATATCTGATAATTTGATGTGCATATGTCTAATGATCATTTTTGACCGTCAAATGGCATTTTTTTTCCCTTTTTTTACTAGATCTCCGAACCCGCTAAACCTGCCTTCATAAAAAGTTGATCAGTTCTTCATCTGGTTAATACAAGTTTTAAAATGTTTTTTGAATTATTCAAATCGCTTCATCCGTGTTTCCGAAATCGTTGACGAAAATTTGTATCCGCACACACACACACACAAACATCCATTTTTTCTAAGGTATGCCAAAATATTCAGAAACCTTTGAAACGTAAAGATATATAAAAATTTTCATTTTAGATTTTTTTGCGATTACTATAACTTGTCCTACGGGAAGTTAATAAAATAGGCATAAAGTCATTCCAGCATATTAAACTATATGATTGTTTAAATTGTGAAAGAAATATTACAAATAATAAAAACCAGTAATATAATACTAATAATTAATTGAACAATCTTTCTTTGACTCAGAATTTTATTGTACAATATATACTACCCTGTAAACAATTTTATATTGCCGTTAGGTTGCGGTTATATAAAAATGTTACCTAGTTATATAACGTCAACCTCACCGTCCCTAAGGAATTTTATTACCTGGAGATAACTATTTCCTACCTTGTTAGTTAACTTGTTATATAACATTGTTAGTTGCGGTAATACGGTAATGTACATATGCGATATTTGCAATGCTTTTAATTTATGCGTAATAATTGATTTTTCTCTAAAAAAAAAAGATTTACTCATATTTCATTGTATTTATTATTAAAATTAATATTTTACAATAAACAAAGTAGCAACAAATATTTTTATACTAAATAGAACAGTAACAAATATTTCATAGTAAACAAAATAGCAACAAATATTTATAACAAATAGCAACAAATAATTTGTACTAAAAACAACAGTAACAAATATTTTATAACAAACAAATAGCAACAATATTTTTGAACTAAACGAAACAGTAATAAGTATTTTATAACAAATAAATAACAGCAAATATTTGTTGCTATTGTTTATTATAAACTATTTTGTACTAACAAAACAGTAACAATATTTTATAACAAACAAATAGCCAACAAATATTGAACTGTAGAAACAGTAATATATTGCTGTTTTGTTAGTTCAAAATATTTCTTGCTATTTGTTTGTTATAAAATATTTGTTACTGTTTTGTTTAGTACAAAATATTTGTTACTGTTGTGTTCAGTTCAAATATTTGTTGCTATTTGTTTGTTATGAAATACTTAAGTATTTGTTTGTTGTTATATATTTGTTAAAATACTTATAAGTATTTTATAAGAAACAAATAGCAACAAATATTTTGAACTATAGAAAACAGTATCAAGTATTTTATAACAAATAGCAACAAATATGTTGTACTAAACTACTAGCACCAAATATTTATAAGTATTTTTAACAAATA